TCAGGAATTACCCCAGGTCACCCTATAATTTGATTTAGTGGTACAATTTTCAGACTTACAAAAATTCAATTTTTATGATTAAAAAGAGTTACCCAATATTTTGCTAATAAAAAAATTATTAGCAAAAATTGTTAAGATGCAAAATCAAACATAACACTTTACCTGAATAGACATACAGGAATAATGCTAATAAATTTAACCTTTATTTACAAAATTATTATCAACAACAAATTATAACATTTAAACTAAAAGAATTTTTTTTGTTTTGTTGCTGTGTTTGATTGAAGCAGAAGTGTATAATTTGAAACATCATTGTACAGTTTGTGTAACTACTTTTCTGCAGAGAATCAAAACATAATCTATATACAGATTTGTTACTTCATTTGGAGTAATATTATCTTCTTCTCCAATTTTATACAATCTAGAAAAATTATCGAAAATTGTTTGTATTTGTTAATTTTGGTCTATTAAACTAATCATTTGAAAATGCAAGAATTAAAAACATTTTACAAAAGACTACTCAATTGCTATTCATGTGATTTATCAAAATTGTATTTTCATAGGATTCTACTTTATTTGCTTAAGCCTAAGTAACTCACTTAATGGTGCTTTATTATTATTTACCATAATATCGTATATTTGAGTTAAAGTTAAAAAGTGCCTTTCTTCAAAAATGTACAGACGTTCAATATTTTTATAGATGTCTGGTGGTTGAATGGTAGTGCTTCATGCACAGGTTTGGGGTTCTGTCTTCAGATTGGGCTAAATTGATTAAACCTTTCATCCCTTTTGTGGGTTGATAAAATGAGTATCAACCATGCTTGGAGATAAAACATTTAGGGTTCCGCATTCGGCTGATCTCCAATCCGGATCATCTGCCACCCAGAGACCAAAATAAAGAAAACTGGGATGGGCACAATAGGCCTTGATTCTCGTTAAGCCACTGAGTTTTTTTAAAATAGTTTGAAAATTTAAACTTTTAAAAGTATGACTTAGCTTTATTTACACGAGGCCTAAAAACAGGCTAATAAAAGCAATATTGATACTTCACTAGCATGAAAAAAAGTCTCTTCAAATTCCCACTGTTCCTAAAATCTTAAGAATCTTGCATTGAAAGAACATGTGAAAAATAACCACTTGACATTAAAAATATATATATTAATCGCGCGACTGAGTTTTGGCTTGATTTGGAGTCTTCTTTTCCAAGGAATTAATATCTGAACGTAAACTATAAGAATGGGAGATGAAAAAACAAATTTTCACTAATGGAATGATATCAGACATTTTATGTCAGGCTTCGTGTAAATGAGAAGTTGATGATAAACTATTAATATTAATAATCAGGTAAAAGAGGTAGACTATTAATTAGTTTCTTATTTTATAGCTTGCAAGAAATTTTTAGAGTAGTAAAGCAGTTTGTTTTGTGGCCTAAACTGAATTCTGAACCACTGCATTACAAGAATAAGCAGGATTTAAAAAATATAAATTAACCATTATCTTACAATTATTAATCATTAATTTAAATTTTACTGCAATATTTATGAAATTATTTACCTTTTTTCAAATTCTGATAAGATATCAACCTCTCTACCTGGATCTTGCTCTCTGCAAATATTAAGCATGGAGTAAGTCTTTACATAGCCAACTATGTCAGACAAGCTACCTTTAATCATACATCGTACATCTGGAACCCTACAATTGATTTTTAGTTTTAAGAATTCAATTTTGAACAAAACAGAGTAATAGAGTTAGATAATATAAGCAAGTATGAATCTACAGTGAAACATCAATATAAAGATATTGAGTTATTAAATATTCTGTAATTATGAGAACACCAAGAACTTGGTCTGCATTTCTCATTCGCAAAACAAAGAAGTTCCTTAAATAAAAATATATTTCTATAGATCAAAAAACATAGATTTATTTAATGTACCATCTTGGGGGGGGGGAAAGAACTACCGACTACCCTTGTAAACCCATGGTACCATTCAGGATGGCTAAGCTGGGAGGCGAAAGAAAAAGACCTACTCCATACTGTTTTGAGATTTTTCAAAAATAGTATAAGATTTTGCAAAAACAGTATGCTTCAGCATTCTTATCTTCAGAATTTTTTCAATAAACAATACTCAGATTAACTATTCCCCTGCTTTTTGTATAAGGATAAGTATCAACAAAAATTGTATGCCATTCTACATTGCATACAATTTTTTTAAAAATAAAATATAAAATAAAAGAATTTATTGATCTAAGACGTTGCAATTGCTCATAAAAAAACATTGGTGTATCAAAAAGAAATAAACTCATCGAATGGCACATATTAATGATATATCAATCAATGTTACAGCAGATTCATTCACTAGAACTTTAAAGTCACTTCAAATTACAGAAAAATGGAGCTATCAGAGTTAGACTAACTCTAAAATAAGTGATTTTGCTATTAAAAGCACATATATAAATACATATTTAGTTGATTGAATGTAGGGTTTAATGGCACAAAGTCCAAAGGAGGACATGCAGTGCCAAACAATACGGTATAGCATAACAATATAGTATATATCGATTAGTACTAACGATATAGTATAACCTAACAATAAATATATTTCATTATCTCTGCAAAATAAATTTATTAAACATATTCGATTCCTTAACAATTCAAATAATATTAGGTAAGTGTAGATGAGTGTCTTATCCACAAAAATTGTTTTAAACTTCAATAAATTTAAAAACTCAAACTGTTCCACTTCGTTGAGATATCATTTCTTTATTCCTTAGAATGATAACTATTGTCTATATCAGAATTCAATAGTTAATTTACTTTATTATTATATCCATTCCACTATGAGTAGTACTAGTTTTCTTGGTAATTCAAAATCACTGAGTTACAAACAAATTTCAATGAGTCATTTTACAAAGTAAGCTTTAAGTAGAAATGATTTTCGAAATGAGTAAATTTTTAAAATGTATTCTTGCATATATTAAAACAGTTTTATCAATAAAACCTGTTTGCCAGAAAAAAAAGTACAAAAAATACATCACCTCACAACTTCTTCAAATGGAAATTCTACTTTGTTATATTTGTGGATAAGTATCTTTACTTGTGGTTTGGTATATGGGTCTAATACATCATAAAACTATGAAAAAAATAAATAAAATTAAATTTCTAACAAAAACCGAACTTTTTTCTAGTCTTAAAATAGAATTCAGAGATAAATCTAACAGCAACAGGCCTAAAATAACATTTTCTTACACTAACCAAAGAAATGAAATAAAGAAAATTTATAGACAGACTCATCACTAAAGGACTGCACTAAACTTACACCACTGAAGATAAAGCTTTAAAAACTGGAGGAAAAAAAGTTAACTTAAGTTTCTGTTCAACTTGAATTCCAGTTTGACTTGAATGTTAATTGTTTATATTTATTTAACTTGAAATCTAAAATCTTTCACAATTTAACATCTTGATAAGTTAAGTAATGACAAAACTATATAAACTATGTGAATCTTAAGTTCGCTCAAAAAATTCATGTATATATATAGTTTCTTGTAAGGCAGTGTATACTTAAATTGGCATGTATTATTTTTAAATTTTTTTCATTTGAAATCTAGAATTTTACATTTTAATATCTCGATAAGTTAAGTAATGACGAAACAATGTGAATCTTTAGTTCGCTCAAAAACTTCATGTTATATATATAGTTTCTTGTAAGGCAAAGTATACTTAAATTCTGTC